GTCTTTGCGGCGGGGGCCGTCCTGGTGTCCGGCTTTGTCGTGTACATGATCCAGATGGAGAAGAAGGGGGAGCCGGTCTTTGCCGAGGAGAAGGCACCCGAGCTCTCCTAGGCGTTGTTGTTGTTGCTGCTGCTGCCAAACCACGACCACCCTACAACTCAAATGTACAAAGACAGCAGTGCTGGAGTTTGGGTTAGTAGCCACGATGTTATGTGTTGCGTAGTTTTTAGTTTAGAGAATACCTGGGTTTTTCTTTCGGGGTGTGTCGCGTCCGTCGTGTTTTGGCCGCTCGTAGAACAGAAAGAACCGGATGTGTACTACAACTGCGTTGCACCCGTCTCGAAAGGATCCTTCGGCCCGGACGCTACCGTGCACAGCGAGCGTTGTGTTGTGTTGTGGGGGCTCCCCAACCTTGTTCACGTCCTCGATCGCACGGCACTGCCTGCCTCGATCCCTTGGGTATTGCACTGGAGCTTGTAGTTGTTGTTGTAGTAGTACTAGTTGTTGTTGTGAGGATAATCTTCGTTCTCTGTGAGAACGACTCCTCCCATACCACAGAAGGCGGGGATTGGATTGTGCACCGGTATGAAACCCGAAGATACCTTATTCCTACCAATCACACCGTTCGCTCTCCCATTGTCTTGTTTTGTTTCTTCCCCGTCCGCCAGACGAAAAGATCTACAACCTATGATACGGAGGACGCTCACTCCTGATACGAAGGACGCTCATGCTGATATGTGATATAACTGAATGTTGAATGACAATTTTTATCAATATCAATAACGGTTAAAATAATGGGATACCTCCGTTCAACGCTTCACCTCTCCTCGCAACCACCAAAATACGAAAAAAACACATCAAAACGCCTCATCCGCAAGCCAAACAAAGCATTCACAATCCGCATGCGTTCATTCCTACTCAAGGAACTGGCGTGCGGGCGCTTCACACTCTAGGAAACTGCGTGCGGAGGCTTCGATACTCGAGGAACTGTCGTGCGGACGCTTCATAGTCGAGCAAACCGTCGTTGCGTTTGCGGATACTCAAGGGACCGGGGTGAGGAGGATTCATACTCAAGCAAACGACCAACAACCGAGGGGATGAATGAAAACGACGATGATACAGACGACCACAAAGTGTCAGGCGTCGTCGCCAACGCCATGAGCGATACCACAGAAGATACGACGAAGTCAAAAAAGGTCGATAACAAACTGAAAGTTGTGTTCGATAACAAACTGAAAGTTGTCAACACTCTTCTGTTGCAGTCGATACGAGATGATGAAAGTAAAGACAACGGTGGGCTGGTCATGGTTGCAACGCTTGTCCAAAGAGTTTTCACTCCTGATGATATGGATGTAGACGATCAAGGGCAAGTTGACGGTAAAGACATCTATTTCCCTTATCGCTCCAATGAAATACCGGTCCAAGTTGAAAAGATACGAACAAGATGCTTCAAAGGAAAGAAAAGTGGAAAAATCCTAGGAGTCGTATCAACCTTTCAGGCAATCATTCCATTAGAAGTTGAGACTGTTCAGCCTTGCCTTCCCTTTCAAATCGGTGTTGGGAAAGTCAGTATTGAACTAAGTTCTGTCACATTTGGTGATCCGAATATCATCTATCGACCAGACTTGCAACTCCACACCACAGAGCCACGACACAATTTCTGCATCAATAATTTGCGAGATTCATATTTCTCTCACAGTAATATCTGGGACAACCATACGTCTCAAGAGGAGAAGTTGCAGAAAGAAAAAGGAAGGAAGAAGGATTGGTTCAAAATTTTGGAAAAGATCGACAAATCTGTGAAATATGATTTTGTTTCACCATATCCCCAAATTTGCTATGAGTATGATAACAAAAAGAATTGTTGCTCACGTTTTGTCCTCTCCATCATTACCAGCAACTACAGTTTTGGATGCTTTGTGAAGTTCATCCTTCCCATGCTTCTTGTGACAATCATTGCGATATTGAATGCAGTGCATGATTTTAGGGAGGGAATGGAGGTTGGTGACCACTTGCAAGTTACATCGGCGTTGACATTGGCTGTTGTATTCATGTTGCCCAATATTATGGACTCAGGCTATCAGAACAAAATCTTGACTAGTGGGAATACAATTGTCATCGTTTACTTTTTTGGGATGCTATTATCAAGTATTCCTCGACGCATTTTTGATGGTTTGGTGGATGACCAAGATGCACAGGCATCAAAATTATATGCAATTCCAGAGTTGATTGGAGTGGTGCTGATGGGATGCTCTCTGTATATTCCAATTTGGCATGCTTTTGTGTATTATAGGATCACCCAAAAAATTCGATCTGAGGCGGACAATCAAACTTATAAAAAAGCTTTTCTTAAGGACACTGCGTGCAAGAACTGGAGTCCTGAACACAGTGACGATTGCATCACGACCGTTTTATCCATCTTGGATAATGAGAACCATGAATTGTACTACGAGAAGCACAATGAGAAGTACAACGAGAAGTACTACGAGAAGGACCACGAGATGTGGGAGCCGCGGCCGCGATACCGCCGTCTCCATTTCAAACCCAATTGGGAAACGAAAGCCGATCGCCCAGTCGTCAGCTGGTGTTAGATACCTTGGTAATAATATTATAGGTATAGTGCAATACATCTTTTCTGCCGTCGTTATAGTCAATCCCGTGCCCCGGAACCGCGGCCCACAAATCATCTTCGGCGGCAGCGACCATCCGCCGCCGGCCGGGGGAAGCCGCCGCTCACGCCCCCCCTCCCGGCGTTTGTCGGGGAGGACATGGCCCTTTACCGGTTCGCCCAGACCCACGCTGCGGTCTTTCTGGACTTGAGGACAATCTTCGTTCTCTGTGAGAACGACTCCTCCCATAACGTACGGTAGAAGACGGGGATTGGATTGTGCACCGGTATGAAAGCCAAAGATACCTTATTCCCATTTCCCCGACCCCCAAATTAGTTGACAATACTTCTAATAACGTTGTATCTGTGAGCCAACGTCCCGTACCGAATTTAGGTAGAAAAATGTTCAGGTTCATGGGTAGAAAAATGTACGTATAAGTACCTTCAGTAAGTACAGTACAGTACAGTACAGTACAGTACAGTACAGTACAGTACAGTACAGTACAGTACAGTACAGTACAGTACAGTACAGTACAGTACAGTACAGTACTTCGTAGAACTTTCATTGCCTACCGTTTTTTAACCGGTATGTTTTTTAAAGTTTCAAAACGAGCTAAAAACCAAAAACAATTTTCCGTCGCGATCGGTTCGAAAACGGTACGAATGTTCTTCTCGACGACGTCTGTTTTCTGTTTTCTTCGATGCGACAACCAACAAAGACCGTAGACCGTCCAAGCGGTGACACACCTCGCTCGCTGGGAGGGAATCGTCCACGTCCACTCCGTAGCAGCAGACGCAAGATAGAAGTCGACATAGCACGAGACCAGAGTCCGGACCCACCATGGTGGTCTCTTTGCAAACCTCTCGTCGAACACAGAACAGAAAGTACCTTAGCTAGCCCGTTCGCCANGTCTTTGCGGCGGGGGCCGTCCTGGTGTCCGGCTTTGTCGTGTACATGATCCAGATGGAGAAGAAGGGGGAGCCGGTCTTTGCCGAGGAGAAGGCGCCCGAGCTCTCCTAGGCGTTGTTGTTGCTGCTGCTGCTGCCAAACCACGACTACCCTACAACTCAAATGTACAAAGACAGCAGTGCTGGAGTTTGGGTTAGTAGCCACGATGTTATGTGTTGCATAAATTTTAGTTTAGAAAATACCAGGAATTTTCTTTCGGGGTCTGTCGTGTTTTGACTGCTCGTGGAAAGAACCGGATGTGTACTACTACTGCGATGCACTCGTTTCGAAAGGATCCTTCGGCCCGGACGCAACCGAGCAGTTGTGTTGTTGGGGCTCCCCAAACCTTGTTCACGTCCTCGATCGCACGGCTCTGCCTGCCTCGATCCCTTGGGTATTGCACTGAAGCTTGTAGTTGTTGTAGTAGTAGTACTAGTTGTTGTTGTGAGGACAATCTTCGTTCTCTGTGAGAACGACTCCCCCCATAACACAGAAGGCGGGGATTGGATTTTGCACCGGTATGAAAGCCAAAGATACCTTATTCCCATTTCCCCGACCCCCAAATTAGTTCACAATACTTCTAGTAACCTTGTATCTGTGAGCCAACGTACCGTACCGAATTTAGGTAGAAAAATGTTCAGGTTCATGGGTAGAAAAATGTACGTATGAGTACCTTGAGTAAGTACGTACAGTACAGTACAGTACAGTACTTAGTAGAACTTTCATTGCCTACCGTTGTTTAACCGGTATGTTTTTGAAAGTTTCAAAACGAGCTAAAAACCAAAAGCAATTTTCCGTCGCGATCGGTTCGAAAACGGTACGAATGTTCGTATCGACGACGTCTGTTTTCTGTTTTCTTCTTCGATGCGACAACCAACAAAGACCGTAGACCGTCCAAGCGGTGACACACCTCGTTCGCTGGGAGGGAATCGTCCACGTCCACTCCGTAGCAGCAGACGCACGATAGAAGTCGACAAAGCACGAGACCAGAGTCCGGACCCACCATGGTGGTCTCTTTGCAAACCTCTCGTCGAACACAGAACAGAAAGTACCTTAGCTAGCCCGTTCGCCAAGCSCTTGTGAACAAACGCATCCCCCAACGCCACTTGCTTGTCTTTTTTGGCGGGATTGCCTTGGTCGAGACCTCTTGGTCGAGACCTTCCGATCCAACGATCCAACCAAGCATGATCTCGAGGCCGCTGCTGCCGCGTGCGGCGTTTTTGCGCGGGGGAAGGCAGCCCCTCGCGGTGCCCGCGGGTGGTCCCCTTTGCAGCCACCGGCCGAAGGAAGGGTGCCACCGGTTTTGTTGCTGCCCGGTGGGAAGCACCGCTGCTCGTTCCTCCTCGACGAGGTCCCCAGAAGCGGCCACCTGGGTGCCGCCGCCGCCCCGTGGGTTCCCTACGGGCCCCCCGCCGCAACCAGAACCTCCGCAACGAGCGGCTTCGCAAGCACCCGCGCCGGCGCTTGCGTGTTCCGGTCCCTCCCAAAGGAGCGGTGCCCCTCCCGGCGCCCTCGGGGAGTCCCTCCGCCGCCGCCGCCCCGASCGGGGRGTTTTCCCGGGGCCCGGCGGCTCGACCCTCGATCTCCCCGGGGGACTCCGCCTCTCGTCGGTCCGGGACCTCCTGGCGCGCAACGGCTTCGAGGCCGTGGAGGTAAGCGAGCGGCCCCTCTACCTCTCCGAGGGGGTGGTGGCCAAAGCCGACCGAGCTGCTTCCTCCTCCCCCTGGAGGGGGGTCGCGGCCTTTCGACCCGAACGGCACGCCTCCGGTTCGAGGGAGCACCTCTTTGCCCGGCCCGCGAAGCACCTGCGGAAGCAGCGACCGCATCCGGAAACGCCCCCCCTCCCGGCGTTTGTTGGGGAGGACATGGCCCTCTACCGGTTCGCCGAGACCCACGCCGCGGCCTTTCTGGACCGGRGGCGGGCCGCCTGGACCAGGTGGGTAAGGGCCCGGGTCCTCCCGCCCCTGAAGAACCTGCGGGAGAAAGCCTCTTCGGCCCGTGTTTCTGCGACAAGGGTCCGCGATACTTTCGGGGACGCCCTGGAGCGGTCCCTCCTGGAGCGCTTCCTGGAAGCGGTCCTCGGGGATCGTTGCGAGAAAAGGGGCGGTGGCGASACCAAAGGCAAAGCCGGTAGCAGCAGAACATCCAAGGATGCGATCATCAAGGATGCGATCATGAAGGATGCGGGCCACGTCGATGGCTTCGATCGTTCGAGCTCCGTCGACAGCCAAAAGGATTCTCCCCACGCCACGGAGAAGCCAATCGACGAAACAACCGAAAGAATCCTCGGCGGCAAGCCCAAAGAGGAGAGCGCCGATGACGAGGACGAGGAGGACGGGGACGAGGACGATGCACTCGAAGACCTCGTAGTGATTGTCTCCGTGCCCCAAGGGAAAACCAAGCAAACCGGTGCTTTTTCCGCCGTGTCCCGATCCGGTCCCGGCAGCAGCAGCAGCAGCAACCACCACCACCACCACAACAACAGCCACCACCAAACCAACAACAGCGACGACCCCGGCGACGAGCTCCTGGTCTCGGTCGCCCTGTACGGGGCCATGACCCCTTCCACCCGCGTCCTGGCCACCAGAGGGTTCTCCCTCGGCCACTCGGCGGCCTCGACGCTCGTCTCGGTCTCCCTGGTGGTCTCGGGGGCCCTCCCGATGGCCCACCGGAGCTATGCCTTTTGCTCCGAGTACCCCTGGCTGGTCGACCCCTCCCTGGTTAGCGCCGCCCTGGTGGCGACCGTGGGCTACACGCTGTGGGCGGCCCGGTGGAGGGCCCGGACGGCCCGGGCCTCTTCGGTGGCGTCCGCCCTGTGCGCCCGGGTCTGCGCCCGGGAAAGGGCCGTTCTGCTGGCCCTGGAGGAGGGGGCGGGGGAGGCCGCCAAAACAGGCAAAGACCCACCCACCCAAACGAGCCAACTAGCTAGCTAGACACGACACCGCACCACGCCACCACTGCGTTCCGGTGTCTTCTGCCTTTGTTGCCAGCATTGGAACCAATACAGGTTTGATTCCAACCGATTCTTCGATGCGGCAAGGATTGTGGATCGCGATCCTTTCCTTTGGTTCCTCTTGGTTCACTCCGTCGAAGGCAGGCATCGGTGGKGTTGTGTTGCCCATCGCAAGAGCTGGATGCAGGACCCGGTTCCGTGCTTAGTCCCAAAAAAAGACACCTGTGGATCACGAATTCATAGTGAGTGAGATTTCTGTTTTGAATCATGCCGTTTTTGATAAGGTACGGAGTACGTACGAGTACCAGGTTCGTACGAGTTATTAAGTATGAATCATAGATCATAGTGAATTTGTCTGTTCAGTGAATCAATCGTCTCTCTTCGGTGAATCATCATCGACRTCAAAGGAAGGAACGACTTCGTACGGTACCAGTATGAACGCAAATGTGTGGACAAAATCCGTAATAGGTTATGAGTACAATAAGACGCGCCAGTTTTTAGCAGTGAGCCCCTGTCTTTGCTTGCTTGTTATTGCTAGCAAAGGCCCAATCAGAGATCGAGAATCCATTAGTCGGAAAGAGCTTTCCTTTCTCTTTACTTTGATGTGCACATTGCTATGTGAATTTTGTAGAGAACGTTATCGGGCTTGTTGATTTCTCTGCGCACCGAAAAATCGA